ATGAACCTCATTGGTTCTTGCAGAAGCTCAAACGTGCTGCGTAACACGAGAATGAACCTCATTGGTTCTTGCTGAAGCTCAAACGTGCTGCGTAACATGAGAATGAACCTCATTGGTTCTTGCAGAAGCTCAAACGTGCTGCGTAACACGAGAATGAACCTCATTGGTTCTTGCTGAAGCTCAAACGTGCTGCGTAACACGAGAATGAACCTCATTGGTTCTTGCAGAAGCTCAAACGTGCTGCGTAACATGAGAATGAACCTCATTGGTTCTTGCAGAAGCTCAAACGTGCTGCGTAACATGAGAATGATCCTCATTGGTTCTTGCTGAAGCTCAAACGTGCTGCGAAACATGAGAATGAACCTCATTGGTTCTTGCAGAAGCTCAAACGTGCTGCGTAACATGAGAATGAACCTCATTGGTTCTTGCAGAAGCTCAAACGTGCTGCGTAACATGAGAATGATCCTCATTGGTTCTTGCTGAAGCTCAAACGTGCTGCGAAACATGAGAATGATCCTCATTGGTTCTTGCAGAAGCTCAAACGTGCTGCGAAACATGAGAATGAACCTCATTGGTTCTTGCTGAAGCTCAAACGGGCTGCGTAACACGAGAATGAACCTCATTGGTTCTTGCAGAAGCTCAAACGTGCTGCGTAACACGAGAATGAACCTCATTGGTTCTTGCTAAAGCTCAAACGTGCTGCGTAACACGAGAATGAACCTCATTGGTTCTTGCAGAAGCTCAAACGTGCTGCGTAACTCGAGAATGAACCTCATTGGTTCTTGCTGAAGCTCAAACGTGCTGCGTAACACGAGAATGAACCTCATTGGTTCTTGCAGAAGCTCAAACGTGCTGCGTAACACGAGAATGAACCTCATTGGTTCTTGCTGAAGCTCAAACGTGCTGCGTAACATGAGAATGAACCTCATTGGTTCTTGCAGAAGCTCAAACGTGCTGCGTAACACGAGAATGAACCTCATTGGTTCTTGCTGAAGCTCAAACGTGCTGCGTAACACGAGAATGATCCTCATTGGTTCTTGCAGAAGCTCAAACGTGCTGCGTAACATGAGAATGAACCTCATTGGTTCTTGCAGAAGCTCAAACGTGCTGCGTAACACGAGAATGAACCTCATTGGTTCTTGCAGAAGCTCAAACGTGCTGCGTAACATGAGAATGAACCTCATTGGTTCTTGCAGAAGCTCAAACGTGCTGCGTAACACGAGAATGAACCTCATTGGTTCTTGCTGAAGCTCAAACGTGCTGCGTAACACGAGAATGAACCTCATTGGTTCTTGCTGAAGCTCAAACGTGCTGCGTAACATGAGAATGAACCTCATTGGTTCTTGCAGAAGCTCAAACGTGCTGCGTAACACGAGAATGAACCTCATTGGTTCTTGCTGAAGCTCAAACGTGCTGCGTAACACGAGAATGATCCTCATTGGTTCTTGCAGAAGCTCAAACGTGCTGCGTAACATGAGAATGAACCTCATTGGTTCTTGCAGAAGCTCAAACGTGCTGCGTAACACGAGAATGAACCTCATTGGTTCTTGCAGAAGCTCAAACGTGCTGCGTAACACGAGAATGATCCTCATTGGTTCTTGCAGAAGCTCAAACGTGCTGCGAAACATGTGAATGAACCTCATTGGTTCTTGCTGAAGCTCAAACGGGCTGCGTAACACGAGAATGAACCTCATTGGTTCTTGCAGAAGCTCAAACGTGCTGCGTAACACGAGAATGAACATCATTGGTTCTTGCTGAAGCTCAAACGTGCTGCGTAACACGAGAATGAACCTCATTGGTTCTTGCTAAAGCTCAAACGTGCTGCGTAACACGAGAATGAACGTCATTGGTTCTTGCTGAAGCTCAAACGTGCTGCGTAACACGAGAATGAACCTCATTGGCTCTTGCTGAAGCTCAAACGTGCTGCGTAACATGAGAATGAACCTCATTGGCTCTTGCTGAAGCTCAAACGTGCTGCGTAACACGAGAATGAACCTCATTGGTTCTTGCTAAAGCTCAAACGTGCTGCGTAACATGAGAATGAACCTCATTGGCTCTTGCTGAAGCTCAAACGTGCTGCGTAACACGAGAATGAACCTCATTGGTTCTTGCTGAAGCTCAAACGTGCTGCGTAACACGAGAATGAACCTCATTGGTTCTTGCAGAAGCTCAAACGTGCTGCGTAACATGAGAATGAACCTCATTGGCTCTTGCTGAAGCTCAAACGTGCTGCGTAACACGAGAATGAACCTCATTGGTTCTTGCAGAAGCTCAAACGTGCTGCGTAACATGAGAATGAACCTCATTGGTTCTTGCTGAAGCTCAAACGTGCTTCGTAACACGAGAATGAACCTCATTGGTTCTTGCAGAAGCTCAAACGTGCTGCGTAACACGAGAATGAACCTCATTGGCTCTTGCTGAAGCTCAAACGTACTGCGTAACATGAGAATGAACCTCATTGGTTCTTGCACATCAAGCGAACATGCTTGAGCTTCCATTTGCCACAACTACGGAGCCCGGGAAGTCACCTGTTGGGAAAAAAAAAAACAATTTGTGGCGACGGTTTTGCAATCCGTCCGCTCAGTTTATAAACCGTACTCACGAATTCTCAATCTGTTCCCTCGGTTTAACAAATCGTGCTCACGGATTAATAAACCGTACCCACGAGTTCCTAATCCGTGCTCTCAGATTTGTAAACCGTGCCTTCCGTTTTTGCAATCTGTACCCACAAATTCATAATCCGTGCCCACGCTTTCGCAATCCGTTCCCACGGGTTTGTAAACTGTACTCACGGATTTGTGTCCTCTCCCCCAGTCTGTGCCAACCTGGCCTTCTGCGGGATGCATTTATTATGTTTAAACTTAATTCTTTTGATGGTTGATTTCTTGAATTTTCTAAAAAACGACATTTAGGCTACTTGTATCTTTAAAGTCCATTTGTTTAGGAGGAAAAAGCTCAGTATAATAGAATAAGCAAAAAAAGATTTCACATATAAAAAAGAAATATAACACAAGGTTAGGTTATATAAAAATAAAACATTCATAAATTATTTTATGATTAAAATATTACTGTCTTCAGTGAACTCATTTATAGTTATAAACGCAAATGATAATAATATTATTAGCCTGCATAGGCCTACATATTTAGAAGGCGCTTTTATCCAAAAAGGAACACAGCAATTAATCAAATGTCAGTCATAATACAGGTTTGACAATAATAATACAGGGCTAAGATTATCACAAATAAACACAAGATTTTGAGCATATCCAAGTGTGTGTGGGAGTGTGGAGCGCGCACTGCATGGCACGGGGGCGCGCGCGTGAACACTTGCATTTTCTTATCAACAGTGGAAACAACTTTTACTCTATCATTTCTGGTCATACAGAAAAGAATAATACATAATTCGCAACTACTTTTATTTGTCCAAACTCACATTACAAGAAAATGTAATACCCCTTTATTAAACATTTAAAATATTCACAAATTAATATGGGGGAAAAAATCGATTTTACTGGTTTTCTAAGGTCAAATTAGAACCTGGAAATAATATTTTTCCCGCAGTGCTGAATGTGAAGAGCCATGTCTCTGGAACCATACAGAGAGATGGTTTATAGGCTAATGCTAATAAATGTGTCTGAAAAATAACGAGGCATTTTAATTGTTCGTTTAAAAGTGAACATTTCAAGCTTTATATAGGCTATGCTATATTTTGTTTCAGTTCATTTAGGTCATTCTTATGAGACGCGCTCCAGTTCACGGAGATCATGAAAGCGCGCCTGATTGTTTTATTTTACAAAAGCACAACGTTTTCTTGTGAGTTTGGACAAATAAAAGTAGTTGCAAATGATGTATTATTCTTTTCTGTATGACCAGAAATTATAGATTTCCACTGTTGATAGGAAAATGCAAGTGTTCGCGCTGGCGCCTCCCTGCATAGTGCGCGCTCCACACTTCCACAAACACTTGGATATGCGTCAAAATCTTGTGTTTATTTGTGATAATCTTAGCCCTGTATTATTATTATTGTCAAACCTGTATTTTGACTGACATTTGACGAATTGCTTAGTTCCTTTTTTGATAAAGCGCCTTCTAAATATGTAGCCTAAATGTAATAGTAATAATATTATTATCATTTGCGTTTATAACTATAAATGAGTTCACTGAAGACAGTAAAATTTTAATCATAAAATAATTTATGAATGTTTTATTTTTATATAACCTAACCTTGTGTTATATTTCTTTTTTTATATGTGAAGTATTTGTTTGCTTATTCTATTATACTGAGCTTTTTCCTCCTAAACAAATGGACTTAAAAGATACAAGTAGGCTAACCTAAATTCAAGAAATCATCCATTAAAAGAATTAAGTTTAAACATAATAAATGCATCCCGCAGAAGGCCAGGTTGGCACAGACTGGGGGAGAGGACACAAATCCGTGAGTACAGTTTACAAACCCGTGGGAACGGATTGCAAAAGCGTGGGCACGGTTTATGAATTTGTGGGTACAGATTGCAAAAACGGAAGGCACGGTTTACAAATCTGAGAGCACGGATTAGGAACTCGTGGGTACGGTTTATTAATCCGTGAGCACGATTTGTTAAACCGAGGGAACAGATTGAGAATTCGTGAGTACGGTTTATAAACTGAGCGGACGGATTGCAAAACTGTCGCCACGAATTGTTTTTTTTTTCCAACAGGTGACTTCCCGGGCTCCGTACACAACTGATGTGTGAGTTGATGAATAAACTCACAAATATGTGAATAAAAGCCTAATTTGACCAATTAGTAGTAAACCATTGGGTGATCAATCTTACTTTCTACCATTTTATGTAACTGACTTCAAAAAGTCAGGGCCAGTCTTGATGAAAAAAATTAGACGACTAACTTTTAAGACTTAAAGCATATTTTTCCAATGTGAATGAATGAGTCTTTATTGTGAATTTACTTGCTTGCCTTTGTTGTAGCTAGTCAGAGTCAGATATAGCAGGAACTGAACTCACTGTTTGTGGACGTATCGGCACTCGCTCGTTGTCGTCATCCATGCCTGGGATGATCACAGTCATTTTTCGGGGCCCTTTAAACCCCAACACATTTGTCTCCTGGACAGAAACACCAGTATCCACTTTAAAACTTCTAAAAGATTATCCAACCTCCAGGTCGACTGTTGAGGAACTGAAGTGAGCACTCACGTAAATGATAGCCGCTAGCTCTTGCCGGGCGTTAGACATGTCCCTGAGGGCCCGGTCAGGGTTGAGGCCGTTGTCAAACACTGTGAACTTGGTACCCATGAGATTGGACCTAAAAAGAAGAGAAACCACAAAACCCCAAAAAAGTGAGTACCTCAGCAATCATACTTATTTTGCGTACCTTTTATATGAGAAGTGTTACCTCAGCTTTCCGATAAAATTATCTCCTCCCCGTGACAGGTCAGTGGCATCTATGGATATCAAATAATTTGACGTCGCACTCTTTTTTCTTTTTCGACCAGCCAATAGGAAGACCTGCAGGACGGAGTGAGATGGCAAAGAGGATCCCTAGTTAGTCATAGAGCTTTCCACACTGTTGAACCTCATTGGTGTTTTTAAAAGAAGTCTCTTCTGCTCACCAAGGCTGCATTTATTTGATTAAAAATACAAAAAAAAGTAATATTGTTAAATAGTATGACAATTTAATATAAAATGTAATTTATTCCAGTGATCAAAGCTGAACTTTCAGCATCATTACTCCAGTCTTCAGTGTCACATGATCCTTCAGAAATCTAATATGCGGATTTGATGCAAAAAACATTCATTATTATCATCAATTTTGAAAACAGTTGTGTACATTTTTTCAGGATTCTTTGATGAATAAAAAATTCAAAAGAACCGCATTTATTTGAAATAGAATCTTTTGTAACATTATAAATGTCTTTACTGTAACTCTTGATCAATTTAATTCATCCTTGATGAATAAAAGTATTGATTTCTTTTATTTCTTTTCCCCAAAAATACAATAAAAATTCTTACTGACCCCAAACCTTTGTTTGAACGGTAGTGTTTAATGTTACAAAAGCTTTCTATTTCAGATAAATGCTGTTCTTTTGAACTTTCAATTCATCAAAGAATCCGGAAATAAAAATGTAAATAACTGTTTTCAGCATTGATAATAATGAGAAATGTTTCTTGAGCATCAAATCATGTGAAACTGAAGACTGGAGTAAGGATGCTGAAAATTCAGCTTTGATGTGTAATAAATTACACTTTACTATATATTCACATTGTAATAATATTTTTCAATATTGCTGTTTTTTTTTAAATCTTACCGATCCAAAACCTTTGACTGGTAGTGTATGTGCAATTCTAGAGCATTTGTGTAATCATACTATCAAGCTACTGACACTGCAAATTTGCAATTAAGGATGTTAACCCTGGGTTAAACTGTCTGCTTATGAATACCCAGGATTAACTGTTAACCCCAGCCCTAATTTGTAATCACATATCCTTCAAAATATTGATACACTATCCTCTAATTCACTACAAAACCTTGTAGAATTGTCAGTAGTTCTGCAAGATTTTGAGCTAAAAGTGTGAGCAAGCAAGTCACCTTCTTCTCGTTGTCTAAATGGAGGTAATAGGTGGGGTAGAAGCCTCTGTCCATCCCGCGCTTATCTCGCGTCAGTTTACACTTGATGGTGGTTCCCTGAGGCGCAGACTGAAGAACAAACTCCTCAAGGTCGTCGAACTCAATGTCCGGTGATGGAGGCCTCTCCTCCTCCTGTCGCGAGAGGGATTTTACTATTCAGATCTTTGTCTCGGGATGACATTGCCTCAATTTACAGGAGTCTTACCTTTTTACTTTTCTTTCCTTTGCCTTTCTTCTTTTTGGGCACTTCTGTACCATCATCACTTTCATCAGATTTAGCAGCGTCTAAAATGAGAAGCATTTATAAGCAGTTTAACGGAATGAACGTTATTTTGTCTTTAAGATGTTATCTTTATAATACACAAATGTGAATTTATAGGGATCGTATATGACAATTTAAGTGTAGTTTGCAAAAAAAAAAAAAAAATTATTAACGTTTGTTATCGTTTGTCCAAAAAATGTTACAAACAAACAGTTTATAAAAAGCTTTCACTTACTCTTTTTCTTGTTATTCTTCTCTTTGTCCTTATTACTCTTGTCTTTTTTCTTGTTGTCTTTGTCTCCAGCTTGAAACATGGAGGTGGAGTTGGCAGAGGATTTCTTTTTGCTCTTGCTGGGTTTAGTCTCTGGCTCACTCTCATCGCTGTCGGACTTAATGGCTGGAGCAGATGCTTAAGTTCCAGTCAGCAAATTTGACAATTGCACTTTTTATTAATAATAATCTATCAAAACACTATGGTCCCACTATGTACAAGCAAGCAAATTTTTAATTCGTACACTCCAAGAAATGTCCAAATCATATTTGACCCCAACATAAAATGTATATTTAAATTATATATTGCATAAAAAAATTAAGTCAACACTGCATTTTAACATCATTTTCGGAACTATTTAAAACAAAAGATATAAACTATTTTTCATTAAATTTTTTACTCAATGCATTATCCCCCCCATACATCTTTGTTTTACTTTACAGAAACGAGAATTCGTAATTGTACTGAAAATATTGTAGCAATACAAACAAACGCAATGGTCCTATACAAATATTTTTAGCAAATTATTTGATTTTGATTTTAAGGTGAAATATGACCCAGACATTCTTTGTGAGATATGTCCCAGAAAAGCTTTGTGAGATACTTGCTTTTAGTAACACAATGATTAATGTACAGTGTTTTAGGAAAAGTGAAATTACCTTTCTTTTTTGCGATAAAATCTGGTTTATCTCCGTTTATCTGAAACATGGAAGCTGGCTCCTTTTTTGCCTTAGATGTCTTTCCTTTGCTTTCTGATTCACCTTTATTCTCTGCAGAGATAATATATTGTGGGGGGGGGGGGGTACTCAGTATTTTCTACAACGATGGCTCGCCTGCAACAAAACCTATGAGTTGATGTATAAGTCATTGAAGCCAATCTAGAGTTCGTTCACAGGGTATTTAAGTGACAAGTTAGGACCAGTTCCCAGAATTCCCCTGGGGTTATTAAGGTGTGCCAGCTTCAGATAATCAACACAGCTTCTAATTGAAGAACAGTTCCTTTCAATATGGAAATGGTGCGCTTAATGGCTCAAGGCTCCATCACAACAACCAGAGACCCAGCTGACAAAAAATATTCTAAGAACATTTTGCTAACATTCCCTTTTTTTTTTGTTCTTGGTTACGGAAACATTCAACTTAGCAAATATTACGACAATGTTACTTTTCAATGTTCTTTAATATTCTGAAACAAGTAACAAAAAAAAAAAAAGGATGTTAGCCAAAGTTCTGAGAACGTTTCCGGTTAGTATGAATATTAAAACAGCGATAGCTCAGTGTCAGAGTGCCATTAGTTCTAACGTCCCTGCTCTTTTTTTTTCTTTTCTTTTTTTAAAACATTGTTGAACTTTTGAAACATGCTTCAAGGTTTCCGCAGCACCATACATTAAACTTGAAGCTTTTAATAGGAGCCCCAGAGGAGGTCATCTGTGTATGTTTTCAATCATCCAGGTCACTGCAGACTGTCTGGTAAAACGTATTAGTTAGCAGCTGGACTTTTTTATTTTTTTATTTGTCTAAGTGTGGCTTGATCAGACACCCCCTGAGGAGCTCACCATCTGTCTTTTAACAACAGGGAAAATGAGGCCAAGCAAACGAATCCCTAAAACCATAAGCAAAAACCAAGAGTTAAATTCACTTGAAAGTCCCCACTTCAGCTCATAGACAAACCGGAGTGGTGATCTTTTAGACAGCTCTGCATGTCGTATTGTTCTGGCTAATCTTCTTAGCTCACGAGATCTAGCGCTAATCCTCTTCCTGAGCAGCAAACCCCCATGCATGTGTACATAACCACATTAAGAGTTACACACACTGAAGCCATTGTCTAAGTTTCCTCTGATTCGATACCTGAAGTGTTTTGCTCTGAGGGGGGAAATAAACCTAAAAATCTCAAACTGTTTTAAGAGCCCAAAAATACTCTCTGTATGGAAAACACAGCAAAGTTCAAAGTTCAAAGCGACTCTTATAATAACATAAATGCCACTTGGCTGTTGAAACGAATGGAAGAAAGCTCAAAATGAACCTTGGCCTCACTCATTAGCATGCATTCAAGTGTGAATGCGCTCAACTGACCTTTGGCCTTTGATTTCTTTTCTTTGGTGCCAGCAGGGGAGCTTTCTTTGGTGGTTTTCTTCTTTGTCTTCTTCTGTGAGGTCTCCTCTTCATCATCCCCATCATCTTCATCAGCAGAATCTAATCAAAATGACGGTTAGAAATGTCAATTTTGAAGAACAAGTCATATAAATGGTGCCAGCAGGGTTTGGGTGGTTATCATGGCAACACAGTGGCAGAATGAGGAGCTAAACATTAAGGCAGGGAGCATCAGATCAACAGCAAAAATGGAGACAATTTTAGGCAAAATTTTTGAAAGCCCATTCATAAAATTACTTATTCTGTGACATAATTGCTTATTACTTTTGACCAAAAGGTGGCGCTGACAATTACACACACAAAGTTTGGTGTCAATATGTCAAATCTTTCCAGAGATACAGACTTAGATGCAGTTTGGCATTATGCCATCAAATTAGTTGATTCAATATACGAAAACGGACATACAATCCATAACTTTTTGCCGACATGGGCTGAAGATGATCTAACTCTAATATGGTGAAAATCAGACAAACGAGGAGTTTCAAAAAGTAGGTTTTTAAAGAAAATCAAAATGGCGAACAGGAAGTTTGGCTGACTATGGCAAAATTGGAATACAATAGAAATGCTGCACCAAATCTAAAGAGACAAGTTTTATGATTTTTGGTCAAACTGTTTAGAAGTATGAGCGAAAAACCCATTTTTCATATCTTGTGACCACTAGGTGGCACTGTGGCAAAGCTGTGCAGGTTCCCACAGGTCATGGTTGTCATAACACACACCAAGTTTGGTAAGAATACGCTAAAGGGTTGCAGAGATATTTTCCATTTGTGTGCGCGTCCTTGAATTGTTCGTGCATTATTCAGGAACCGTTTAATAAATAAACTTAAATTCCACTTTTTTTTTGTCAAGATGGCCTGAAGATGATCTGATAAAATTTCCATGGAAATCAGAGCAATGGTCTCTAGGGTGAGTTTGAAAAAGTAGATTTTGAAAAAAAAATGGTGGACAGGAAGTTTGGCAGACCATGGCAAAATTGGTATCTATGTTCTCGGCATTACCCAATATGCTGATTTCACGCAGCCGTTATTTGGAAATCGAAAGCGAGGCTCCGGTGGGAAGTAAACCGGAAGTTTCGCATTTAATCACAGGAGAATCGCGAATGCGATGGCGTATTGTTATGTTTAATGTAGAAATGAGTTATTCTAAAACTGTATATACATTTCTTTCATACTTTAGACTATATACAGTGAAATTCATTTATAAATAAAATAATTTTTTTATATATAATTCAGAAAGTAAAAAAAGAAGCAGGAACATATCCTATATTGGATATTAACATCCAATAGTGTAAATCGCGGGAGCAGCTTCAGTTTAATAGTCCAAGGAATTGTTGTTTATCTTTACTTCCGGGGTTCTTCCCACCGGAGCCTCACTTTCGATTTCAAAATGGCGACTGCGTGAAATCAGCGTATTAATCTATTAAGTTTTATTACAATGGGCTAAATTAATCAAAAGCTATTAGCATTTTTTTTTAAACGTAATTCAAGTTTTTTGAGTATTTTTGTCAAATACACATACCGAGTTTTGCAACGATAAGCCAATGCGCTCGTAAAATATAGCATTTAACGACATAAATGACAGATGCCCAAAATGGCAGACATGAAAAAAAAAATCTAAAATTTCATGACTGAAAATTATGTCAATCAAATCGTCTTGAGCCAAGGAATCGGAGGGGAAAAAAATTGTTTCTTATGAGCCCTTACGGTTCAAAAGTTATTAGCATAAACGTGAGTGCAACTCACAGTTGGTGGCGCTAGAGGGATTGAGTTACAGACTCCCAAATTGCTATGGTTAATGTTTAGACTGTGTACCAAATTTCATAACTTTTCACCATACAGTTCTATGGGATGCCATAGACTCAAGAGCGGAAGAAGACGACAACGACCAATGGATACAATAGGTGCCTAACACCTACAGTGCTTGGCCCCTAATAATAATAATAAGGCAAATAAAGGCAACTCCCATTAAAATGAATGAGAATGCCATGGCATTATAAGCATCATCCAGTGCCATTCACCAGCTTTCACCTCCCTCCCCACCATCCACCTGTCGTGTAGAGATCCAGTCTATTTACATGATCCAATCTATTCCCAAAGCACAACAATAGTCCAGTTTGGCATTTTTTAAATATCCTGTTTAACTACCGATACTTATGGTAAGCCTGGGTAAGGTTGATTGACTGAAACGCTGCTAATTAAATATTATAATAATGCAATTTTGAGTATCCTGGATTTACTTCTATCGACTTTAATCCGACCGACCTACGAATGATTTGTGAGTCACTATTATTTATATTAAATATTGTTTAAAAGAAATAGTTTGCCACTGCCTACACAAGTTTCCTACATAGGACAAGTGGTTTAGATAATGTATGGATGGATGGATGGAAGGAAGGATGGATGGATGGAAGTAAGGATGGATGGATGGATGGATGGAAGGAAGTAAGGAAGGATGGATGGAAGGAAGGAAGGAAGGATGGATGGAAGGAAGGATGGATGGAAGGATGGATGGAAGGAAGGATACAAAAGGAAGGAAGGATGGATGGATGGATGGATGGAAGGAAGGATGGATGGATGGAAGGAAGGATGGATGGATGGATGGATGGAAGGAAGGAAGGATGGATGGATGGATGGAAGGAAGGAAGGATGGATGGATGGATGGATGGATGGATGGAAGGAATGAAGGAAGTAAGGAAGGATGGATGGATGGAAGTGAGGAAGGATGGATGGATGGATGGAAGGAAGGAAGAATGGATGGATGGCAGGAAGGAAGGACGGATGGATGGAAGAAAGGACGGATGGATGGATGGAAGGAAGGAAGGATGGATGGATGGATGGAAGGAAGGATGGATGGATGGATAGAAGGAAGGATGCAAAAGGAAGGAAGGAAGGATGGATGGATGGAAGGAAGGATGCAAAAAGGAAGGAAGGAAGTCCATGTTTAATGATTATCTATTTGCACTAATTGATGGATTCAACCATTCTTCTTCTTAGGAGTACTCTTTGTCTTCTTTTTTGTGTTAAATATTGTTTAAAAGAAATAATTTGCCACTGCCTACACAAGTTTCCTACATAGGACAAGTGGTTTAGATAATGGATGGATGGATGGATGGATGGATGGATGGATGGATGGAAGGAATGATGGATGGATGGATGGAAGGAAGGATGTATGGATGTATGGATGGAAGGCAGGATGGATGGATGGAAGGAAGGAAGGAAGGAAGGAAGGAAGGAAGGAAGGAAGGAAGGATGGATGGATGGATGGATGGATGGAAGTAAGGAAGGATGGATGGAAGGAAGGAAGGAAGGAAGGATGGATGGAAGGAAGGATGGATGGAAGGATGGATGGATGAAAGGATGGATGGATGGAAGAATGCAAAAGGAAGGAAGAATGGATGGATGGAAGGAAGTAAGGAAGGATGGATGGATGGAAGGAAGTAAGGAAGGATGGAAGGAAGGAAGGAAGGAAGGATGGATGGATGGATGGAAGGAAGTAAGGAAGGATGGATGGAAGGAAGGATGGATGATGGATGGATGGAAGGAAGGAAGGAAGTAAGGAAGGATGGATGGATGGAAGGATGGATGGAAGGAAGGACGGACGGATGGATGGAAGGAAGGAAGGATGGATGGATGGAAGGATGGATGGAAGGAAGGAAGGAAGGATGGATGGATGGATGGATGGAAGGAAGGATGGATGGATGGATGGATGGAAGGAAGGAAGGATGGATGGATGGAAGGATGGATGGAAGGAAGGATGCAAAAGGAAGGAAGGAAGGATGGATGGATGGAAGGAAGGATGCAAAAAGGAAGGAAGGAAGTTCATGTTTAATGATTATCTATTTGCACTAATTGATGGATTCAACCTTTCTTCTTCTTAGGAGTACTCTTGGTCTTCTTTTTTGTGTTCTTCTCTGTTATGTCTTCTTTGTCCTTCTCGGTTTTCTTTTTCTTTACTGTTTTGCTCTCTGCTGAGAAGTGAAAATAAGTTGTTTTAGCAGCCATATATCAATCCACTAGTACAAAATGACAGTGCTCCCAAAAACGTGTGCTAACACTAAGCACACTAAGCAAATATCTGAATGTCATTTAATAATCACCTGGCCCCTATAACGACCATTTCCTGTTTAGTTTTATTGTTCCTTGTCACTACGTTTACATGCAACCAAATAATCCGTTAGTAATCGGATTGAATTATGCGCAAACAGCGGGAAACTCTGTATATTCGTGCTGTGTGGGCATGTCAAAAAAACAATTCTGATTTGAAGCTTGTGACACACTGTAAGTACGCGCACATCAACCCGATCACGTTTAGCGTTCATGTAAACACTACGTTCGGATTCATCAATCAGAATGAATTCAGTCCGATTGGAACAAAAGTTGTGCATGTAGACGTAGTCACAACTTCTTGTTCTCGTTTTTTGCAATGGTTTCTGATTTGAGTTACGCACCTGTTCCTTGTTCTGTTGATTACCATTCCTTGTGTATTTAAGCCCTCAGTTCTCTCTGTTCTGGGTTCAGCGTTGTCAACGTCATTGTTAGTGTGCAATGTAAGTTAAAGTGGTTCTCTGTAAAGTCTCTTTGTATTCATTTATTCTACGTCACGCATCTTGATTCTCTTCTGGTGGATTATACTACACAGCGTTATGTGATATCCCTAAACTCTTTTTTTAAATAGATGTATATGATGTCAGTTCTCCCAGAGTTCACGCAGAGTAACCAAAGACGTCACTATTAGTAGAAGAGGTTCTACTGTATATAGAGACTTAAAGGGTTCTGTCAGGCGCTAACATACACTCACCTAAAGGATTATTAGGAACACCTGTTCAATTTCTCATTAATGCAATTATCTAATCAACCAATCACATGGCAGGTGCTTCAATGCATTTAGGGGTGTGGTCCTGGTCAAGACAATCTCCTGAACAATCTCCGGCCGGTCTGAGTATTTCACAATCTGCTCAGTTACTGGGATTTTCACACACAACCATTTCTAGGGTTTACAAAGAATGGTGTGAAAAGGGAAAAGCATCCAGTATGCGGCAGTCCTGTGGGCGAAAATGCCTTGTTGATGCTAGAGGTCAGAGGAGAATGGGCCGACTGATTCAAGCTGATAGAAGAGCAACTTTGACTGAAATAACCACTCGTTACAACCGTGGTATGCAGCAAAGCATTTGTGAAGCCACAACACGCACAACCTTGAGGCGGATGGGCTACAACAGTAGAAGACCCCACCTGGTACCACTTATCTCCACTAGGAAAAAGAGGCTACAATTTGCAAGAGCTCACCAAAATTGGACAGTTGAAGACTGGAAAAATGTTGCCTGGTCTGATGAGTCTAGATTTCTGTTGAGACATTCAGATGGTAGAGTCAGAATTTGGCGTAAACAGAATGAGAACATGGATCCATCATGCCTTGTTACCACTGTGCAGGCTGGTGGTGGTGGTGTAATGGTGTGGGGGATGTTTTCTTGGCACACTTTAGGCCCCTTAGTGCCAATTGGGCATCGTTTAAATGCCACGACCTACCTGAGCATTGTTTCTGACCATGTCCATCCCTTTATGGCCACCATGTACCCATCCTCTAATGGCTACTTCCAGCAGGATAATGCACCATGTCACAAAGCTTGAATCATTTCAAATTGGTTTCTTGAACATGACAATGAGTTCACTGTACTAAAATGGCCCCCACAGTCACCAGATCTCAACCCAATAGAGCATCTTTGGGATGTGGTGGAACGGGAGCTTCGTGCCCTGGATGTGCAGCTCACAAATCTCCATCAACTGCAAGATGCTATCCTATCAATATGGGCCAACATTTCTAAAGAATGCTTTCAGCACTTTGTTGAATCAATGCCACGTAGAATACAGTTCTGAAGGCAAAAGGGGGTCAAACACAGTATTAGTATGGTGTTCCTAATAATCCTTTAGGTGAGTGTATATAACCCTTATTCACAGCAGCGCCATCTTTGATTTTTAAATGAAAGCGAGGCTGTGAGGGATAGACATACATCTCTTCAGTGGGTTGTACTGTTATTTAATGTGTTTTGGGATTATTCTGCTAATAAAACACTGCAAAAATATCAACAAACAACAACAAAAAACAGACAATATGAGCTGTGGAAAATTCTAAGTGGTCTAGAGCTTTAACAGTTTTATTACAGCAGATGCCATTGACAACACGGTAAGTCTATCCCTCACAGCCTCGCTTTCATACCCCTCATGGCGCTGCTCTGAATAAGGTCTATACAACCTTTTAAGGCAATCCACCAGGGGATCATTTTATGGATTTAGTTTTAATTCATTCACTTTGATTTAATTCATTTTGATTTTTAATAAAATGTTATCAATTAAACAGCTCATAAACATACTTTATCATTAGAAAAATTGAAATAACTTAAACATTCAAATGTATTACAGGTATGCAATCATTTACAATATTTCTCCTTAGAACATTTGTGGCATAATGCGTTCTTTAAAATCGGAACCCTAGGGTTCTATATAGAACCCCACTGAACATTTTTTTCTAAGAGTGTGGAGTATCACATACACTCCATGTTCCACTAACGTCCATAATAAAGTCTATCATTTTAAAACTGACAAACGTCTTTTTGTGGAATGTATTGGTTTGAAAAAATGCTTTTTTGTTACCTTTTTTTGGTAGCCACTGTACAGTATTTCTCTCAGAAAAGAAGCTTGAACATGTGACAATTCAATGTCAATGTAACCATTGTTTGGTGATTATTTTATTTCCTAAGGATCATCCAAATCATTTAAATCCAGTAAGAAGTCACAACAGTTGCAAAGCATGGGTTTGTACTGTATGTCTGTGTGAGATGTGTAATGTATCAGACTGACTCTTTGAAGGCGTATTCTCCTCCTCGCCTGACAACTCTTCAGTCTTTTTAGCTTTGCTCTTTTTCGGTTTGTCTTCGGCTCCATTGGCCTTTCCAGAATCTGCCCCCGGCTTCTTCTTTTTTGTCTTCTACGTGGCTGTCAATAAGGACAATGAATCGCATTTACATTTACAGTTTTTCTTTTACATGCTTTTACGTTTCTGTGCACAGCAGTGTAAATGTAAGCAATAGTTTTAAACTTACCCATTGCCAAACGTCAATGAAAGCAAGCAAAAGGATGCACATACTTTAGAAATTTAAAGTCACCGTGAAATCATACATTTTTAAATTCATGTTCCCTTATAATATTGAATCAAAATAACTTCCCCTCTCTTCTCTTCTTTGATGGTGTGTTTACTGGCATGACCAACCTGAGATCCACCAATTGTAAGCAACAAGCATCCAATCAATTCCCTATGGGCAAAATCCCAACCTACATTTTGTTTGTTAGAGAACTTGGATATACAGTACAAGTAATCTTTGTAGTGTGATAATCATGTCTACACTTTTCTTAAGGACAAACAAATCAATCAACATTTTCTGTACACTCAAACAAAGGAGGTTTAACTGGTGTGGCACATTGGTTTAAGACGTTACCTCTTATGTACAGAATGCTGCAGGAGGAGAAAGTCTAATTCTTACACAATGTAGGCCGGACGTCACAGCCCGCTTCCGCACTGCACGGAGTGGGGAGCACATAATCTGATTAGTTCCAATCTTATATAAGTATTTATAGACCTCTCTTTAACAAAGAGCAAAGACAGTGGGATCCTTGAGTTCTGCCGGCATTGGGATTTTACTCACACATTATGGAAAATCCCCCCGTAGACCGTTAGCCACAACAGATTCAGTTTTGTATGTATAAGTAGGTTCTTTGACAGAATCATCCAAACACATCTGCTGAAAAATATTGATTGGATCATTTTTAATTACGGTTAATGTGTAAGCAAATGGCATGATTTCAGGGGAAAACTCTTTGGGGTCAGTGAGTTTCAGTGCCATCACGCACCAGTGGCCTCGGTCAACCCCTCTCTGACATGTACTCGCTCCTTTTCTCCGCCCTTTCTGGTTAAAAATGTAACAGGATACTCAGGAAAAAGGAAACACATGTATAAAATATTTCCTGTTTTTCAAAAACAAACATTTAAAAATATTAAACATGGAAAACCTGTTCTACTGCCGGTTCTGTATTATTTCCAATGCCCAAAATATTCCAGAGAAAGGGTCACACTTTATATTAGGCGTCATAAAATAATAATTGTTAGGTCCAATGTACTTATTGTGTTGATGTTGGATTTCAAAACACTTGTGAGGCTATTGAGGTGGGATTCGGGTAAGGTTAGGGACAGATTTGGTGGTATGGGCTGGTTTAAGGGTGGGTTAAGTTGTAAGGGAAGGTCAACAGTGCAATCAAACATGTAATTACAGAAATTAATTACAGCTGTAATTACATGCAGGTATTTTAAATATATAAGTGCAATGTAAAACATCCATGCATGCATGATGCAATAAGTTCATTGTATCAAATAATTAATTCAAGTGAGGGATAATGTACGTCCAGTCGGTTGTTATCTCAGAATAAACCCCCGACAGGGTGATCAGGACCCCCGGCGTGAAGCAGAGGGGTCTTGCATCAGCCTGAAGGGGTTTATTCTGAGATAACAACCGGCTGGATGTACATTATCCCGCTTATTCCGCAGCTACGTGCCACATAAGTAAATAATTAGACGTGAAATATTCATCTGAGAAAAAATATTTGATTAGCTCTTTAAACGTAAAGCTTCCGCTGAGAAAGGAGTTGCTACCGCAGCAAGTTCAAGCTAGACGGACATTTAAGGGATACGGTATACAGTTATACCGCTTATTACACGCCATTTCGCCACATAAAAAAATATGGAGATAATAGATATTGATTTGAGATGAAACTGTAATACATGTTAGTAGTATTACACTCTTGGACACTTAAAATAAAGTGGGACCAAAAAAATTTCTAGAAACATTTTGGCATTAAAATGTAATTTTAAATTACATTGATTATTAAATTCTTAACAATTTGATCTATTACTTTAATTTTCACCTAACATTTTAACCAATATACAGATACCAGGAGCCGTCTAGAACAAAGACAAGAGCACACTGAATCCATTTGCTGCTAAATTTATGAAAGTCAATGTGGTTAGCTTTGCTTTCCCCTTCTAAAGACTTTCTAAATCTTGCCAATAAGAAGACACAATCAATCAAATGATCAAAGAGTCACTTTGGTCAATCAAGATATTACACAATTTCCAGACTACGAACTATACCTAACCTAAAGGCAAATAGCTCCCTTGGCTTACGTAATCAAGAGCCCAAATGCATTGCCAATAAGAACCTCTTTTTATATGTTATTTTATTCAAAAAGAAATAGATAAATCTCAAAACAGCCCTTAAGAAAACCTTTAACAGAATCCATTAACAGATTCAGCAAATTGACAAATTAAGATACAAAATTACTTTTACTATAAAGATATTCGATTATAGATTATTAGATGACTAATGAATGACAGTCTTAGAGAATCTGGACCCGTAAACCGGATCAAGGCAGAATGAGTCTTTGAGGTGGATTGTGGCACTGCCATCTTGAGATTACAAATTTGCAGTTAAAAAGGCTCTTGAAAAAGTATGAAAATCACAAACTAGTACATATTATGTCCAGCAAAAGAACATTGACACATGTATGCTGACAGAAAACACTAACTAATCAATCAAACAGACTTGTATTAACAAATTTAGGCTTGTTTAGTGGCTTCTAGTTCAACATTTTCTTAGTATTGGTTCCATTACTGCTTATCCGGACTCTTAATACATTGAAATTTAAGACATCTTTAACTGCATTTAGAAACTAGAAGCTCTTTTCGGCTATAGACGCCACAGATAAGATGTACCTTCTCTGCAGACATGGTTATTGAGATGACATCGGTTCAAGAGTAAAAGTCCAGGCAAGAGAGCAGATGAAGCTGTCATGTGTGTTTATATGAGTGTGTGCTGAGGGCATCAGTGTGGCTGATTATGAAAGCTAGTTTAGTCCAGAGAAGTTGATAATAGGATTCAGTGCAAAGCCCATCTGCCTCAGAAGCAACCAAAACAACACAAGAGGAACGTACCATCTAATGAGCGCTCTTCGTTACACACTAGATTATCAGCAGAACCATTTAAAGTCCACCTGTGGTCAATCATTTTATCCCTTAAAATCATCTTTCATCACCAAAATTACATTTTTAAACATTGTGTCCTTGAAAAAAATTCCTTCATGCCTTAAAATAGCTTGAATGTAACTCGACACCCTTGCCTCATTTAGTATATGTGGTTCTATGAATATGCAAATGAGCCCCGCCTCCACTCACTCACACCAGCTCAGAGATCCACTCGTTGACGATCACTTGATGACCTGTTTGGTTACAAGGTAGTTTGTGGCGTTAAAGACACCAGCGATTTCAAACCGTGTTTTTGAGACTGTCTTTGGTTCACTGCAGTTTTAAAGAGAACATATTCAGCAATGGTGCCGACTTATGAATCTGCACATGGTTCGTCTTAAAGCATATTAAAAACACCACATAGACATATAAACAGCATTAAAAGCTGGATTGTAAAAGCAGTGTTGTCATTGTATCTCTGAGATACTATTATATTTTTATTAATATTTGGAATTAGTTTTCATTTTATTTAAAGTATTAGTATTTTTTTTGTCATTTTCAAACCTGTCAATTTAGTTTGTATTCATTTTTATTTCAGTTTTAGTTTGAGATATTATTATCAAATATACTGATTTTCACAGCTGTTTGCATTCACTTAAGACATAACTATAGCTATGTTTCCATCCACACATTTTTATCCGCATTAAGTGATATCGAATGAAAAATGCCTTATGGAAACAGTAAAATTCGATTGAATTTCATGAATATCGACTCAAATGAAATACGATCGGTCTAATCGGACTTTATCTTGATCAATATACGGCTTATGCGATAAACTTGGATGGAAACGTTATTATGGTGCGATCCATTTTGCCTAGTAAAACTTTGTTCGCAAATGTTGGCTTGAATGTTGTGCAATTCGGTGAGAAAATGAATGGAAACACCTTAACATGTCTCAAATCAATTCGATATACCAATTTGATCGCAAAACAGCATGTGACGTCATTACGCACAGGTTATCCGCTTTAAAGCCGTTTGATGGAAACACACTTTCACCAGCTTTATTCGCATGAGGTTTTTTACCGAACTTCAGATAATTCGATAGAAAAATGGATGGAAACATGGCTTATGACAAAACATGACTACGAGGACACTGGCCAAGACAATTCAAGCCAAGACAAGTCTTTTTGACATCATTTTGTGTGAATGTGTCTGTTTTTAGCACAAGAAGATGTGAAAGAGAGCTCAGTTCAGTATTCGCGCTCTGTCCGAAAAGCGGATTTCTGGGTGCGCGCTTCGGAGGTTCCCTTTTACGTTTTTTTGCGCTTGAATACTTAAATTGGCAAGGATTAAACTTTCGTGACGATGCAGCACTGGCCCGTCAAATGTGCAGAGCGTCGTTCGCGTTTCTTCATATTCTCACAACACTGCATTTTTAGAATTCATAAAAATGTTTTCAGCCAACTGGCGATTGACACTGTTTTATATACTCGCCAACACCAAGTTTTATTCGCCTTTGGCACTTGGCGAGTGTTAATTTTAGTCCCTGGCTATGTTGCTGTTGCTGCTGCAAGTGTGGACTTGCTACTGCTAATGGATGCACAGACATACAGCTGTGAGCATATAAGAGATGCTGCTGCTGCTGCTTACATAGACATTCACAAATCCCGTGGCAGATCTAGGCAGGTGGAGCTGGGGAGGTGGAGGGTTTCAGAGGAACTCTGAGAGCGCTACAGGTCTTAGCTTAAAGCAAACAATAAACCAGACGATTTAAATGTTGAGCACAAAATCTCATTGGCTGCAGAATCAGCAGAGGCCAATCAGCTTGTCCCATGTGGTAATGATGCGATTGCTTGCAGACTGCCTGTCAGTCAGCGCCCTCTGGTGTTTCATGACTGAACTAGACATTAATCCTAGTGAAAAGTTGAACTAAAAAAATTAACATGAATTTCATAATATCTTAGTATTTGGTTTGTCACCCTTTTCTTTAATAACAGCAGCAGTTGAGCTCTATAAGTTTGTGCAAAACGTGATGATCCTCCAGCATGACTTGAGACTGATCCAAAGAGCATCTCGAGCTTCAATCTTCATTTCTAATAACTTTTCTTTCTTTTACAATTGTTTTTAATCCTTAACTTTCGAAGTAAAAAAAAAAAAAGGTTTTCAATGTGTTCTCACTCTTTTAGACCCACATTAAAGTACGCTTGCCCTTGAATGTGAATGTGTAGACATAGATTGAAACATGCACAAACTTACATAAACACATATATGTGTAACTCACCTGTACTGACCTTTTGGAGTCATCATTAGGGTGACTAAGAGATAAATCAACATTATCAGCAAAGCACACACACTTACAGTATGACATCAATTATAGTGAAGCAGAAAGCACTACTCACCTGTCCTCCGTCCAAACCTCCTTCAAGATCTCTTTCTGCAGAGGCATCAAGAGAAGATCAGCGAAACCTCTGATTCCTCTCAAATACAATATCCAAAGCTCAATCGATCAGTAATAATCTCAGTATTCCATTGCAGCTCGTATTTTTTTCTATGTACTATGCATTTTTTCTCCATCCAATCTTGCTTTCTTTCATTTCCGTGGACTGTAAGTCATGGCACGCATTGCAGAAATGTTGCCTATGTCTTTTTGCACTTGAAAACACAGAGGTTGGGTTTTGCTGGTCGTCTTAAAACGCCAATAAGATGAGAGTGCAGTTTCCCAGCATGCATTTAGCTTTAAATGAGTGCCATCTGTCATCTGACAAAACACCAATCTACCCACAACATAACCAGTCAATGGAGGTCTTACCCATCCACCTGCAAAGATTTAATAGGATTGCCTTCAGAATAAGAAGGCTACCACATGTCTCTTTAGGCGATTGGCTACATAAAGCTCACACATAGGTTTTTATCATTAAAATAATGCTGTATTAATAAAAAAAAAAGATGACTATAGCAAAATTTGTTAAGCTGTGCTCCATAAAAGCCATGTTATAGCATGCCTTTTATGTGATGCATTTTTATTATACAATATAACACTTTGTTTAATATTAGTTTACTACAATAACGTCAACTAACAATGATTAATACTTCTACACTATTTATTAATCTTATTTACTGTTAATTTCAATTATTAATTTTTTTTTACGGTCAAAAGTTGTATTTGTTAAAGGGGTCATATAATGGTACATGCACTTTTACAAGTTGATTGTTCTGAAATGTGTGTTGGCAGTGCCTGTACACAACACATCATATAATGATAAAAATCCATCCAGTGGTTTTGTTTTAATCTCCTTATATGTTTTCCCCTGCCTCAAATCGAGCCGTTCGACCGTGTGACGTCACACGCTCGGAAGCCCCTCCCGCGATTGTTGAATGACAGGAGCGTTTCAACACAGACCCGCCCTCGCTCGTGAGAGCTGTCAATCATAGTCTGCGCGGACCGGCGCGGTCATTGTTGATATGCTGGAGCACTGTCTATGAGCAGAATGGCGTCTAAGCGATTGTGGTGTTCTGTTCTTGGGTGTAAGAACGAACACAGCAGTCATTTTAATGTTCCTAAATCCGAACCGCTGAAGACGCAGTGGCTGAGTTTGTTTTCGAAGGGAATATTCCCCACAAGCAACGTCAATGCTCTCATGTTTGCGCGAATCATTTCACACACCAGACTGCTTTATAAACGAGGAGGTATAAACATGGGCGTAGGTTTGGTCTCAGCTTTGGTGGGGACAGACTCCCCCCCATCCCCCGGGAATTATTTTGTTGTAAGATAAGTAACATTGCTTTAACGGCGATTTCCTTTGTCATTTCAGACTATCACAAGACAGAATATCACAATACAGAAGTGAATCTACTTCATCTCATTATTATATTGTATCCTGACCCCGATACACCATCCTGTATACTGTCAATAAAGAGCTAGTATAATCTCAAAAATGCACTCTCAAAAAATAAACACCTAGACTGTGTAATGCTGAACAACCAAACATTTTATTTAACATAAATTATTATTATTTGGAATTTGGATATTATCAATCAAATAATGATTCATTATATTTGAATAACCAACAGTGTTAACTTTTGCCTTTTTAACATTGCCAACATGTTTTTCCAGCACATGTGTCTAGCAAGCTACACTCACAAATACATTACATAAACAGAATGTAGTACGAAAAATGTCTCAGATGATCTACTGTTTATGACTGCAAGATTCTAAGTTAAGAATGAATCTAAGTTAAGCATGATGTGACTTGCTAACGTAGCATTCTATCATGATAGTGCGACTTCTATGAGTCTGTCCGTGCTGCACACCCCTAATTAATGCTCCTAACCTTGAAAGATTGCAGAAGCTAGGTTTAACTGTAACAATATCCTGGGTAACCAGGATCACCATACTATTTTCCACAGTAAATCTGCATTTGAAAGCCTGGTCAGTCACTACTACTGCTAGTTATTTGTGTGGCTAGTTATTTTTGCCTACTTACACTCTGCTTTATGAAAAGCTTCGTATGTCCCCTTTCTTCTTCTTGGGTGACATAGCTGATCTACAAAGTACAAAAAGGGGCAAAAAAAACGGAATATTAAAATGTTTTACTCTGGCCTTTGTATATGGCAGGCAGAGAGACAGCCCTGGTAACTTACCGTCGGCGTCGTCACGCGCGCACACACACACACACACACACACACACACACACACACACACGCACACACCACCCGCTCGCTGCCAGTGAGTGCAAGCACAAAAAGTAGTCCCGGCCCGCGCGTGTAGCCTGCCTGTCAGATACCCCGCCGCCAATCAAATTGCGGCGTATCTTGTACTGTCGTCGTCCTGGCCGTTGGAATCGATCTAAATAGCAGCGCAAAGATCCAAATAGCAGTTCAAAGGAGCTTGCTAAATATTGGTGGGGACAAATTTGTCACCTCAAAATATTGATTGGGACTAGTACCTAGCGTCCCCCCCTAAACCTACGCCCTTGCTGGTTTTGCTAAGAAGCTGCCCCTGAAAGGATCGGTACCAGCTATTCGTGTTCCTGCAGCTGCTCCAGAACAACTGAAGTGAGTGTAACGTTTTATTAAACTTTATATTAATATTTATATTAATCCTTGTAAATCGCTAGCTGCACGCTTCACAATGAATTCGTCTAAGGTTTACACTCAGGGTACATTACGGCATGTTTTCTATGTATGACGTTCTCAATATAATGCATAATCCCACGTTTATACTGAACAACGTGTTATGGTTATTGTGTTACAAACGGTGTACGCCAGAGCCGGCTCTGGTGTACGCACAGAACAGAGACGCGGAGTCAGCAAAGCTCATTATCATTTAAAGTCATATGCACTGAAACGGCGTGCTGAAAACAGAGCTGTTTTTGACCAGGTAAAATAAGTGTTTTCTTACAATACTAATGAGAATTTTTAATTAAAGTATATTACAAACTTTTAATTTAGACCCTAAAGAATCATATTAGCTTGTACAAAAATGGCATTACATGACCCCTTTAACATTAGTTAATGCACTGTTAACTAACATTACCAAACAACGAACAAATGTATTTATATCTAACTTTAACAAAGATTAATAAATGCTGTAAAAAATAAATGTATCATTGTTAGCTCATGTTAGATAATGCCTTAACAAATAAGACCTTATTGCAAAGTGTTACCATACTAATTATACTTTTTAATTTAATTGTTAGCACTGTTTTAGGAGTCAATATATGTTTATGAAATAAAAAAATACAATCTGCATTTCATGAATTGTAAAACTTTTTTTGTAAAAAAAAAAAAGATGAATTAATTGAATAATTTAAATTAATAATTAATAAAATAATTAAAGTCCCATTGGCCACCACAATAGCTTTGTAATAGAAAGAAAGAATACTTATAGGCATGTAGAACATAAATAATCACATTTAAGCCATATTAAACTGTCTATCTATAATAATAATAAAAAATGTTTTATTAATTTATGAGGAATGATTTGGGATTTGGGGTAGATCCAGTCTGGTGGATCTCATATCATGTATTTTATCTTTATTCATCATTTCATGTTTCTATATTGATCAAATCATCTTAACATTATTTCTGCTATCATAATTCCTGCATATAACACCCTGAGCAAATGCACATTTTCATAGTGTAGAGTATATAATTTTGGTATTATTATAGTGTCTTTAAATTAGCCAATTAACTATTTTTTATTTTATAATATATTTTATTGCTGTGTGTAGTTACCAATATGTGCCACACGAGGGAGAAATATTGCAGCATATGTTGTGCTGCTGAGAACGCCAGTTAATTCAAGCAAGTTCTAATAAATATGACACAATATTGTAGCACAACATGAAGCACTTTTTTTTATTATTCGACAGCGTAATGCATGCATTATGAAATGTAGGCTATTTTATTCATGTTAATAATGATACAGTGTATTTACCCTTTTTTCTCACTTTAGGCTATATTGAACACGACTTTTGAATGACATACATGTACAGTGTGTGCGCACGTTAAGCCCTCTCGCGAATTAACGCCTCCATCTAAAGCCTGGACTAATTGAACCTCTCCCTTCCCTGTCCCTATACTCACACGTATGTGGGCTGGCTGCCAAGTGTTGGAAACAGGGACTGTATCTTTAACCTGTAGCTTTAATTATTGAGCCTCGAAGAGTGTTTGAGTTCAGTGGCCTGACACACATCTCCTGCTGACCCGAGGGGTCCAGCTCTGTCCTCTATATCCTTCTCCCCTGTGTGATTATGGCAGTCTAGACTAATGGATCTGCTGGATGGCCTGCTCATTCTGACAGCCTTCCCCAACAACTGACATTACGACTATTAAGAGAAGCTAGTGAATTGACCCACTGTGGCGAAGCTCTTCGGGCCTTAAAGGGACAGTGTCACGCTAGAATCTGCCACTGAACGAGGGTACGTTCCTGTGTGCCTTTCTGTTTTGAGACGCCAAATATACTGTTTAGATATACTGTTTTTAATGTTTCCTGGGTTACCCTTATAATGTTAGTATGTTTTTTAGATAAAAAATAATCATAATTTAGAAATAAATGGCATTTTTCCTAGCCTGCTTTTAGCCTCTGATTTGAACACTCTGTTTGAAGGGGCGTGTCTGCTGTGGGATTCAGTGTAACCGCGGCCACTGCTGTGATTGGCTGACATGCTTGCATATGAAATAGCAACGCATTACACGTGAAACTCTCTCCCGAATACTTTTACTACTGCTGTTATACGTTTTTACTATAACAGCTATCGAGATTAACGAATCGTGAGATGTTTTTAAAGTATTTAGATTTATTCCCATCACATAAAATGTTGCCGTGATGAGCATTGAGCAGATGACGTGTTGATCGCGAGAATGAAGATCTTATCATTGCAAAGCAGTTTCTGCACTCTCTCAGCTTTCACCAATGCAAACACGATGATGTAAATACAGTAAGAGCTTCGTTGTGCAGTAACGTGCGTCATTGATTTCATAACGAGTTTGGCAAGTGTCCAGATAAACTCGAGCTGTGTGGAAAGATTGTTCTTTGATCGCTTTCTGTATATAATTTGTTCACAATTTAAATACGATTATTTTCATCCTACTTAAAGAAACGATGTGAAGCTGATATTTTAGTCACTGGCTTGACTTACTGATGCATAAACAGTATTGAACGATTTTGAGAGAAAGATTACCTGTCTGAACTTGAACAATTACACATCAGAAAGTGTTGCTTGGTAGCTCGATCCGAGGCCAGCTCTGTATTGGCCCAAGTTGAGGAAACAGTCGTCGGTGAAATGTTTGAAAATTTCCAGAGAAAATAAAATTAACCCATTGTTTC